ACGCACGCACAGACACACAGTGTTTAATGAAAGTAAGACACCAAGACTTTAATTTTATAAATTTTTCATTTTATTTAATTAATCTAAAGTTGGTAAACATTTATATAGCTTTCTCAATAATGTAACAAGTAGCACAGAAATGTACATGATGGTCTTAAGTAGGGGTAACCGTCCTAGACTGACTCGATTCCTGTGTCGAGTCTCATTAATTCAACAATATTCATGATGTAGATAAATCAAATCATGTTAGAGACCATCATCGTTGAAGCTTGTTTTACTAAGTAAACAACATAATGGAGTAGGTGTCTAGACTAGTTGTAAAACCAGCGGAGCACTCGAGTCTGGAAGGGACAACATACCAGTAGAAACGCTTTCCGGCCTCACTATTAATCCTTCTCATCCTAAGACATGTGCTATTATAGGATCCTTCCTAGAATCGTTGCCGCATCTCTGGTATCTTATGGCTCGGGAGCGTAATTGTGTTACCAAATAAAGTATATGAGTAGACTTAGTGTTTTATCTGAAAAATATTATTATTTGGTTAAAAATAGTGAAAAATGACTAAGTTTTGGAAAATCAATTAATCTTCTTATTTAAGAAAAATTGACTTTCCAAATTACGGAGTCGCCATTTTATTTTTGATAAAATCAAGAAAAAATTAAAATTTATTTTCAAAAGATTCAAAAACAGATAAAAATCGATTGAAAAAGGTTAGAAGTTCAAATGTACATCCCGAAAAGGTGTTGACCGACGATGATTAAATAACCTTTAAAATAAATTATAAAATTTTAACTAAGAGAAATTCGTTTTTTTTTATATATATATTTTAACAATTTTATTTATCATTATTTTCTAAAGGACACATTTAGAGGAAATTAACCTAAGGAATAAACTAAATGGTGACAAAAGTCGATAAAACAAAATAAATAAATAAAATAGTAGTAAAATTTTATGATTAAATAAATATAGTAAGAAATGACTATCTTTTAGGAAATTAATAAAATTCCACCAAAATATTAGTCAATCCAATCATATGATAAATAAAAGGGAGAGAGGAAAGAATATTTGAACTTGGGCTAATTGTCCAAATTCATTCAATTTGGACTTTTAGCCCACCTGCCCTAGACTAAATTATTCAAAATGTGGACTTGTGCCCTTATCCAATAATTCAAACCCTGAAGAAAATTTTGGCCTTTGGGCCTATTAAAATTTAGCTGAAGGGCCTTGGCCCATTTCCCCTGAAAAAAGAAATAGGGAGTGTACACAGGATGTATACTGTTGTATATGGTATATATACGATCCATATTATACTTTTTAATCCTGTATATTTGTTCAAATACGATTTCTCACGATTCCACCTGTATTTCCCATATTATTTCGGCGTATTTGTACCTGTACCATTTTTATTACTGTATATCACTGCCCAAAGGATGTATACCAATGTATACGGGATATATCCTATGCACGTATTCATTCACTATTCTTGTATTTTACTTGAATTTGGCTTCCATGTACGTTAAACCTGTAATTCGTATTTCTTACACCTCTTTATGGTATATCGCGTATGTATATCAGTGTATACAGGTTGTATATCGGCCTGTTTTTCAACTTTCAAAAGTTGAAAGCTCCTTTACAACAACATATTTCACTGCTATCAACCCATATTTCAAATTTTGTTCTCCTGTACGTCTTTGATCTGTATATAAGTGTATATACAATATGTATAAAGACGGTACACAACTTTTTCAACACCTGCAAACATGATTTACAGCCCCCTTTCCAGGTTTTGATGAACCTGCAATTAATTTCCAGCAGTGCATTTCAACCTGCTCTTTGACTTGTACATCAATTTACCAATTTTTGAAAGGCTGGACGACTCGAGAGTACTGATTCCACTCAAGCAATAGAAAGAAAGGCTATCTCCTCTAATCTCTAACTATGCTGAGTTCAATCAAGCTAAGAACTAGTCAACCTCCTTACTTCTTTACCGCTCCTTCCCGAGGTTTGAGCATTTACGGCTCAACAAGAGAATGCAATGGAAGAAATCCATTATGGACTCGGGGCGGGTTCATACAAAGAAAGAAAGAGAAAAGAAAAAGTTATGTAAGAGTCTTATCCTTCCAAGCCAATCAAGATAACACAACATAACATTTTCAAGTAATAAACTAAATCTACCCTAATGTACAGAAACAAGGAGGAATAGCATGTGAACTAGGCACCATTGATGATATTGAAAGACTTCATTGCACACTCCATGCACTACAGAGAATTCAAAAATAGCAATAGACACAAAGGAACCAAGGTCTAAGGCAGTGACTACATTGTGCAAAAGGTAGCAACAACACATAAATTATTAGCAAATAAAATATGCTCCAAACAAGGAAGGTCATGATTTCCTTTAAGCTGGAGAAGTCAAGAGAAGAGAAGATATCAAGATAAAACAGTCACATAGTCCTAACTTAAGAAAAAGAAAAGCAGTAATGACAGTGCTTTGAGGACTTGTTGAAGCAAATTACAGAACTTCCTGATCATTTTTATAAGCTTAAATAACAAGATTAAAAAAGCAAGAGGTTTATTGATGAGAACCAAGCAAGAGAACTGAATGTCAAACAACCAACAACACCAAGCAGCAAACTAATTAACTCCATAGATACGAACTCGAACCAATGCACATAACGACCAATATATAATACTAAAGCGACTTCCATTAATACTCAGATCGTGCTTAATGCTCAGAATGCCCATAGAAGTTAGAACCAACATTGAAGAGAAGATTCTAAAGCAAGGAAAGCAAACGATTCCAAAGGGACAGTACACTACGGATTCGCAAGAAAACTTTTAAGAAAAAAAAAAGGAAACAAAAGCAAAACAGAAAAGAGAGAAGAAAACTTGGTATCTGGGCTACTCCAAAGCTCAAATTAACATGATAACAAACACAAGACACAACCATTGAGCCATTAAATAACAGAAAAATCACAACATCTGCACTAGTATCACGTACTCACCCTAAACTGGAAATAAAAATACAATTAAAGCAAAAATCTTCCAAAATTTCTATTATCCTAAATTTTTTATATGCCTACACCTATTGCTCTTTTCAAATATCTTTAAGAAAATAGAAAATTCTTTTTTCGAAAAACCTCCCCTGCTCTAATTTCCCAACAGACCTTATATAGGAAGGGTATTTTTGTTTTCAAAAATGGGGTGAAAGGGTAGAATTGTCTCAGCCACAAAACGTTATCCCCTCCAATTTAGAGAATATTCTGAAACGATTCTTCTTGCCCAACGGATTTGGAGAGAGATGGACGGCTGGGATCGATCCGTCCTCCTTGAACTTGACGTGACACTCATCCACTTGAGCGAAGGACGAGATCCAGCTGCACGGAACGTATGAGCGAGGTCGAAGAGGAAGGTGACAAAAGAGTGCAGGGTACTAGGTTTCCCACTCGGCACTCACGCGCTTGGTACAGTTGAATTTCCACTTTGGAGACGTTAGAGGAAAACGACAGGGTGTGAAAATCGCGTTAATCCGGCGAGTGAGGGAAGAATTGACACCGATGTTTCTGAGTTCTTAGCGAGGAAGAAACGAATGTGGGGCTGGGACGAAGAAAAATGGGCCTGGGAAGAGAGGTGGGTCGGCTGGGGGAAAATAATTGGGCCTGGTTTAAGGTTAAAAGAACAAATAAAAATAACACTATACACATATTTAAGATGAGAAATATCAAGTTATGAACATTCTTTTTAATAATAAACAACTTATAGCATATTATTATCAAGTTATAGCATATCAAGAAAAAATATATTATTCTCATTAATTTTTTTAAATTATAATTAACTTATTCAAATAATTACATTTATTATTCAGTTACCTTTTTTAAACCAATTTAGTTAATTAAATTAATTATTTTAAGTTACCTTTCTTAAACAAAACTCTTAACTAGTGTAAATTAAATTAAATATTATATTGTTACCTTTTTAAAAAAAATACAAAATAATAGGGATTTTATCATTCCATAATTAATAACTACCCATCAATATCTAAAATAATTACAGTTTTCTTCTTAAAACTGTCACACGTTGACTAAAAAAAATTATATTCCCCAAATATATTGTTCTTCCCCAAATCCTCACAAAATCTTCTCTTTTGCACGCCTAAAAATTAATTTTTCACCAAATTTGGCTAAAAAAACTTTCACTCTTAACAGTCTTCTTCACCAATTCTCCCATTTTTGCACTCAAATCTTCATCTTTTGCACTAAAATAATTGTATAATATCGAAGAGAGGCAATGAAACCTCGCGAAAAAGTAGAAGGTTGAATGATGAAGCAAGCTCAGAGGAATTTCATGCTCTATCTTTCAAAATTTTATCACAAACACAAACTCAGCCTTCATCTGCAAAAGACAAATCTAGAACAGGGAAATCAAAAGTGAAAAAAAAACAAAGGAAATCAAGAAGAAGAGAAAAGGGAAAGAAAAGCAAAAAGTAGATGAATCTGTGAAAAGGGCGAAAGAAAGATGAAAGAAGAGGAAAGGAAAACAAATTGAGTACTCATTAGATTCTAAATCTGATTTTGTAGAAGAGTTCATAAAATCAAAATCAAAAAAATCAAGAGCCTCTGAAATCGATACTTCACATTTAGAAGAAGAAGAAACCGTTAAACCCAAAAAAATTTAAAGGTTAGTAATAGTTTTTTTAAAATTTAAATAAAAATTATCTGTTTAATTTTGTTCTATTTTCGAGTTTAATTGTGAATAGTATAGTACATGTTTTATGTTCTGTTATTTGTGTATAAAATATTTAATATATAATTTTAGTATAGAAGTGTATGAAATATTTGTATCAAGTTTTTATGATATTGTTGAATATTAATATCCATAATAAAACTACATACTTTATGTTTTGATTTGTATATTTAGTGTTGAATAAATTGTGTATGAAAGAATGTTGTAAGCTTGTATGAATTTGTATAAAATGCTACATCTATTTTATTACATTATAAATGTATAAACAATGTATGAATTGTGTATGATTCACTGTATGAAATTACATATTTTTTCTATTACAATATCAATATATGAAATATATATGAATTGTGTATGATCACTGTATTAATTTTGTACGATATGTGTATGAAATTCCATATTTGTTTCACTTACCTATCACACATATGTATGTATCAATATGTGTATGATTATGTATTAAATTTTGTATCAAATTTTTATGATATTGTTGAATATTAATATCCATAATTAAACTACATACTTTATGTTTTTGATTTGTATATTTAGTGTTGAATAAATTGTGTATGAAAGAATGTTGTAAGTTTGTATGAATTTGTATGAAATGCTACATCTATTTTATTACATTATAAATGTATAAACAATGTATGAATTGTGTATGATTATATTGTATTAAGTTTGTATACTATGTGTATGAAATTACATTTTTTTTTCTATTACAATATCAATATATGAAACATGTATGAATTGTGTATGATTCACTATATTAATTTTGCATGATATGTGTATGAAATTCCATATTTGTTTCATTTACCTATCAACATATGAGTAATGTATCAATATGTGTATGATTAATGTATTAAGTTTTGTATATTATATGTATGAAATTCTATATTTTATTTTTTCTCCACATTAGCAATGTATGAATATAGTATGATAAACATATTAATTCAATTTTTACAATTTTTTAGGAGAAGAAGACACAAGCACATTTGTCTTTATGTATTAACATGAATGTGTTTGCGGATTTGTTGACCTTTTTAGGTCAAGATAAGTTTGAACAATTCCTAGATGAAACACCTTTTGGATTTTTTTAATAATTTGCATCACATTAAAATCCAATGTCAATTGTTGAGACACTTATTTCTACTTGGGAATGAAAATGTTAGGGATGACATGTTTGACATAAAAGTAAATGGTAAAGAGTTACATTTTGGGTTAAAAGAATTTGTTGCTATAAGCGGTTTGAAATGTGGACCTGTTTCTGATTATGTATCCGACCCATATGTTCCAAACAGACTCATTGGTGAAAATTTTGGGGATTTTTATAAAGTATCAAAGTCAGATTCTTATTACAAGTTTAAATTGCAAAATTTTTTGGGAAGAAGATGACCGTCTAAAAATGTCACGATCCAAATTCGGGCCGCGACTGGCACCCACACTTACCCTCCTATGTGAGCGAACCAACCAATCTAAACCTTAACATTTCAATGTAATATCAACATAAAGTAATCCGGAAGACTTAAACTTATTAATAAAAACCAATTCAATAACTATTATTTCCCAAAATCTGGAAGGTCATTACCACAAGAACATCTATGATCAAAGTACTAAACTAAGAGTATTCTAAAAAGCTAAAACAAATAAAGCTAGTCCATGCCGGAAGTTCAAGGCATCAAGACATGAAGGAGAAGATCCAGTCCAAGCTAGAAGCGTTAGCTCACCCTGAAGATCCGGTGTGACGAAGACTGGCTAGAATTACTGTTGAGTTGAAGACGACGGCACGTTTGCTGCACTCCACAAATAACAAGAAGAAAACATAAAAGTAGGGGTCAGTACAAAACACGGGTACTGAGTAGATATCATCGGCCAACTCAAAATAGAAAACAATATATACCAAGTAATACCTCCGCTCCAGATTTTGGGGATAATAATAAATGTTTGAGTTTTTAGAAGTTATTTGATTTATTTTGTTAATGAGTTTTTAAGTCATCCGCAATGTATTTAGTTCATTATGTTTGAAATGATTGGGTTAGATTGGTTGGTTCGCTCACATAGGAGGATAAATGTGGGTGCCACTCACGGCTCGATTTGGGTCGTGACAAACTTGGTATCAGAGCATTAGGTTCGTTGGTCTCATCATACAAGAACGAGTCTAGTAGAGTCTTAAGGAACGGTAGGGGGACGCCTTTACTTTTCTTTGAGAGACTATAAGACTTTAGGAAAATTCCATTCTTTCTTTCTTTCTTTCGTGCTATTACTTGGGTCCAATTGGTATCTAGGTGATACAAATTGGTATCCGACCATCTTCACTCTATTTCGCAAATGGTTAGAACTAGAGTAATAACCGTGCCAACACCAGCACCGGCGGGACAGGGTGCGTCTGAACCAGCCACTGGGGCTGTAGCTAGAGGAAGAGTAGCGGCAAGAGGCCGTGGAAGAGGTCGTGAGAGGACGTCCTCCAGGAGAAGAGGACGAGAACCTAGCCCATCTGGTACTAGGGCGGTGACTCCTCCACCGACTGAGGAAGTAGTAAGAGAAGGGGAGAATGGGGAGAATGAACAAGTGCAGAATGAGGTATTGCTACCCCAACCTTCCCCAGAAATGATCAATCAGGTTCTTGCATATCTTAGCGGGTTATCTGATCAAGTCCAGACACCTCCAGTGTTTTCTGCACCAGCACCTCAGGCTCCGGAGGTACAACATGCGGCTACTGTGGCTCCCCACATGGATGCCTCATTGGAAATAGGCACATTTCCTCGTCTGACTACAGGGCCTGCAATGACAAATGATCAGCATGAACTTTTCAGTAAGTTCTTGAAATTGAAACCTCCAGTCTTCAAGGGTGCTGAATCAGAGGATGCTTATGATTTTCTGGTTGAGTGTCACGAGCTACTACACAAGATGGGTATAGAAGAATGGTTTGGTGTGGAGTTTGTGACTTATCAGTTCCAAGGGAACGCCAAAATGTGGTGGCGGTCACATGTTGAGTGTCAACCAACAAAGGCGCCACCTATTACTTGGGCATCATTCTCTAGCTTGTTTATGGAGAAGTATATTCTTCGGACTTTGAGGGATAGGAAAAGAGATGAGTTCTTGAGCCTAGAGCAAGGTATGATGTCGGTTACTGCATATGAGGCTAAGTTTCGTGCATTATCAAGGTATGCCACCCAACTTTGTTTCAGTCCACAAGAGCGGATTCACCGCTTTGTGAAGGGTTGAGATCAGAATTGCGGATTTCAGCCTTACAGGTAGCAGCTACTGCAAAATCCTTTCAAGAAGTGGTAGACTTCGTGATAGAGGTGGAAGGAGTGAAGCCCGATGACTTCACCATGGCATCGACATCAAAAAGGTTTTGGAAGGGAGGTGAGTTAAATGGTTCTTACTCTAGAGGACAGGGTTCGGGAGGTTACTCAGTCCGACCAATTCAGTCTTCACTACAGACTGTAGTTGGAGGTCCACCTCAGACCGGTCAACACTTCTCTGAGAGACCCATGCTTGACTCCAGAGAGTGTTATGGATGTGGGGAGACTGGACACATTAGGAGAAATTGTCCAAAATAGAGTTATAGACCTCCAATACCTAGAGGTAGAGGTGGTCATGGTAGAGGCCGTTATTCTGGAGGACGTGGTTGCCGAGGTAATGGTAGTCATCAAAACGGCCGGGGTGACGGACAAATGGGAACTACTGCAGCGCAACATGGTAGGGCCAACGGGCAAACAGGTGATAGGGCCCATTGTTACGCTTTCCCTGGGCGGTCGGAAGCGAAGACATCAGATGCTTTTATCATAGGTAATCTTTTGGTTTGTGATTGTATGGCTTCTGTATTATTTGACCCTGGCTCTACATTTTCATATGTATCTTCCGCATTTGCTAATGGTCTT